ATTTACAAAAAAAGCGTGCCAGATGAAAGGGGTATATAAATATTTATTATAAAAAAATAATAATATTGATCCATACATTTTTCCAAAAGTTATATAAAATATAAATTAAATAATATAAAATAAAAAATCCAGAATTTTTTACGGAAATCTTACGTTTTTCTTTAACTTTGATGTCCGTTTTCACCACGAAAACAAGTCCAGAGATCAACATTTTTTTTTTTCAAATTAAAGTATATTATATAAGCTTTAATTTAACATATATATAAAAGTGTCAGTCTTTCCGGAATATTTTCAAAAGTTAAGTTGAAAAAGTTCTACTTTCTAAACGCATTTTAAAAACTTTGCACCCCCCCTGTATAAAGGGAAAATGTCCGATTTAAAAAAAAAGTATGTCGAATGAAAGAGGTATATATAAAGTATTTATTGTTAAATAATAGAATTGATTCATGCATTTTTTAATAAGTTATAGCATCATAATGTTAAAAAATGTAAAATATAATATCAAGAATTTTTTCACAAAAATAGCATATTTTTGCATACGGTAGTCATTTTCACCATGAAGACAAGTCCAGAGGTCAAATTTTTTTTTTTCAAATTAAAGTATATTACATTAGCTTTAATTTAAGATATATATAAAAGTGTCAGTCTTTCCGGAACATTTTCAAAAGTTATGTTGAAAAAGTTAATTTTTTGTGAAAAAGTTGTCATGTTGAATCCCCTTCTGTGGGCAGGGAAAGGGTCAAATGTTCACAAAAATATATAAAATGATAGGTAAATATCTAAGGTATCTATAAAAAAAAACATTATATTGATTAGGTCATTTTTAAAAAAGTTATGGCACTTTTAAGTAAAATAAATTGAAAAAATTTCGAAAATTAGCGATTTTTAAATTTGTAATTTTTTCGGAGGTTTCCCCCATTTACGGGGAACTAGGGAAATTTTTTCAATTTTTAAGGGTAATGTCTTCGATTAGATATGATTTGTGATCTTTTGACGTATCATTGAAAGAAATCGGTTCGGTGAAAGCTGAGAAAAAGTAGTAACAGGCACAAAAAAAAAAATAAAAAATAAACAAATCTTAGTAAAACCAATAGCTTCTCAGCTTCGCATCGAAGCTAAAATACGATTTTTGTAAAAAAATTATTTTTTATATTTTTAACTTTATAATGCTATTACTTTTTGAAAGATGTATGGATCAATATAATTCTTTTTATTGTAGATGCATGATGTCTTAACCTATCATTTGGTATATTTTTTTTATAAATCTGATTTTTTACCTGCCTACAGGGGGGGATTCAAAATGACAACTTTTTCACAAAAAATTGACTTTTTCAACTTAAATTTTGAAAGTGTTCCGGAAAGTCTGACACTTTTATATATATCTTAAATTAAAGCTAATGTAATATACTTTATTATGGAAAAAAAAAATTTCGGACTTTATTTTATCTTCATGGTGAAAACAGACATTAAACTTAATAAAAAAAATACGATTTTTGTAAAAAAATTATTTTTTATATTTTTAACTTTATAATGCTATTACTTTTTGAAAGATGTATGGATCAATATAATTCTTTTTATTGTAGATGCATGATGTCTTAACCTATCATTTGGTATATTTTTTTTATAAATCTGATTTTTTACCTGCCTACAGGGGGGGATTCAAAATGACAACTTTTTCACAAAAAATTGACTTTTTCAACTTAAATTTTGAAAGTGTTCCGGAAAGTCTGACACTTTTATATATATCTTAAATTAAAGCTAATGTAATCTACTTTATTATGTAAAAAAAAAATTTCGGACTTTATTTTGTCTTCATGGTGAAAATGGCTATCGAATGCTATTATTGTGTGAAAATTCTCAATTTTATTTTTTACATTTTTAACATTATAATGCTATAACTTATTGAAAAGTGTATTGATCAATATAATTTTTTTATGGGAAATACTATTTTTTAATAATCCCATTTTCATTCGACATACTATATCTTAATCAGGATATTAATAAGGAACTAGCATATCATGTAGATTTTGGAATAATACACCAAATTTTTTTAAATTAAACACTATCTAAAGGTTTGCATCGAAGCGTTTAGTTTTGATAGTGATTTTAATCACTGTCAGATATCATTATACTTGATCCAACTATGCCACGTCACCACTGTGCCGCGACCTCCCTGTGCTGGGTTTTTATATTTAATCTTTATTGCTTTTTTCTATGTTGGCGTGACAAATTATTCTTACGGCAATATTTATAGTAAATATCAGTAGCGGATATAAAGAGGAGGTACTAAAATCCTTAAACTTTTTTATATTAATATTATTTCACTGTGTTTTTTTTTTGAGGCTGCGATTTATTTTTCCAACCCTCATTTTGAAAGTATTTATTGTCGAATTAAATTTGATATGATAAAAGTATTCAACTACAAAAGAAAATAATTTTACTTTGTAATTTATTAAATTTTTAACTCTGTTGTGCTACTATTAGTCTATAACATTCCAAATTTTTTGAAAAATGTTGCTAGATAAATCATAAATCTAAAAAAAGAAAATGATTTTTAGTTTCACCTAAATTTAACAATGGATTTTTATAATTATAATCAAATTTTATAATACATTTAATTAAATAGATCTTTTTAATAACTTTTATTTTATTGATTTTTTAGTCAAAGTATATCATTAAAATTAATTCAGTTCTGAATATTTCAATTGTAGACTCTTTTTAAACACCAAAAGTTAATTGGAAATGATTCCTATGATTTTTATTTAAGTGATCTATTGAAAAATGTAAAAAAAATCGAACTTTACTAATAAATTTACTGTAAATAAAATAGTAATTATAAAATTTCCTGACTACGTATTAACCTTAACAATACCATTTTTTTTTATTTAATGATGTCAATTTACTAGTTAATCTAAAACTTATAGTAATAAATTCATTTTTTTTTATTATAAAGTTTCACTTTAAAGGATAAAAAAAAATCGGTTAAAAATGATTACTTTTAACATATTAAAAATGGATAATAATTTCAAAACAATTAATTATAAAAATTATACATTATATTTTTGAATCTAAGAATTACTAATCTGGATATAATTAAGGAAATAGAAGTAGATGTTGCTTTTCTAATTATCCATCTTTTATTAAAATTAAACACTATCTACAGATTTCTATCGAAGCGTTTAATTATGATAGTGATTTTAATCACTGTCAGATATCATTATACTGAATCCAACTATGCCACGTCCTCACTGTTCTGGGTTTTTTAGTTTAACACAACAAATAAATAAATATTAAGAAAACAAAATTTTGTGTTGAAATACTTTTTAAATTTTATTAATTGCAACAAATGGTTTATTATTATCACTGGGATACATTCAAAATATTTTGTATGCTGTATCTACAGTCTATAAAAAAAATAAACATATTATTTGATTCACAAAAAATAAAATTCACTAAAATGCAATAAACAATTAATGTATATATTATATTTTAAATATACATGTTAATATTTGAATTATTTACAAAATAACAACCTAACATTTTTATTAATAAATGACAACAATGTGAACATAAATTGACTTGTGAATATTTCTTTTTAAAACCTTATAAATATAATCAAATATTAGACAATTTTTTGTTTTTTTTTGAAAAATGTATACTTTGGTGAACTTGTAACTCAAATATAATGTGTAATGAACAGTGTTTGATAAAAAATTAAAATCAAAATTTTAGCTCTTAAAGAATATTAAAGATTTTTTTTTATTTCATATAAAAGGAATGTTTTAAGCGAGATAATTTATTTTGCATAAAATTATTTAAATGTTGACTATTTAGATTGATTATTTTATAGAAAATTTTATTTAAATAAAAAAAATACACCGAGAATACAGTTAAATGCAACTAAATTTGCCAAAATATTATTTTTAATTATTTGTGAAAATTTTAAATAAAAATACATAAAATGATTAAACTAGATATTATACAATAAAAAAAATAATAATAACAGTTAATAATCATAATTAATTAGTTTTTGGTGCTGATCTGTCATTGACTACAATAGTTCTTTTCAAAACCATGCCTTTCTTTATTTGCTCCATTAATGAATCATGACAAGTAGCCGGATCAACTATAGAATGTCTAGAAGGCGCAATCCATCTCTTATTTAGTTTTGGTGATCCATTTCCTGTATTTTTTGGCTGTTGCATCAATCTAGATCCTATAGCAGCTATGAAACCAGTAACAGGTTCTGATGCTCGACTAATTCGATCTCCGCTTGATGATCTATTACTAGGTGAACGTCGAAGCATAATAGGACTAGCTGGTTGATGATTTAATTTAGTCAGATTACGAACAGTTTCAGCAACACTACCACCAGACAGTTTACGCTGATGTGACATTGGTTCAGCATAAATTTTTTCAGATGAAGAAGATATTTGTGATTGGCTATTTTGTCGTGGCTCGGTTGATAAATCAAGTAAAAATGGTGGAGGAGGTGGCAAATTTTGTATAGAGTTATTGATTGTAGATGGAGTTCTACGAATTGGAGGTGGAGGTTTGTTGTTCTGCATTGAAGAACGACGACACAATGTACCACTTCTCAAACTCGAATAACCTATAATAATTAATTATGAACATAGAATTTAATAATTATTAAAAAAATAAAACATGCAAATATATTTGTTTATTATTATCAAAATATAAAAAATGAGTCAAAATTAAACAAAATAATAAGAGATAGTAAAAAAAAAAAAAAATTATACTAAGCGCTATTACCATTTAAGCTAAAATAAGCTTTGTACATAATAAAACAGAATTCTTACACTGATAAATTTTAATAACACTAAGAGTTCTTATTAAGAAAACTACAAAATCTTTTCTTTTTTTTTAATTTGATTTTTAGATATTTTTAACCAACAAGTTGATAAAATTGTTTAAACAATTCTACTCTAGATAAACGTTTTTAGTGATTTTAATAACAACAAAACAGCTTCCTCTATAATAGCTTCAATGATAAGAAAATTATATTATCTTGTAGTACATTGTTTTATTAGCCTTTATTTTATATAATGTATCACATTTTAACATACCAACTGTTGACGCAGGACGTACACGTTCTTTGACTAGAGTACTACTTCTGATATCCAAAGTGCGATATTTCAAAAGCGTACTTGCAACTTCTATATAAACAAACATAAAAGCACAACAAAAGCATGCATAATAAAACAAAATAGACTAAATGTTGCTATAAAATTAAAATATATATACACTAAAAAAAATAATAATTAATACTTCAATAATTTAATTAAACAAACAAATAGTTGCGTTGAAAATAATTTTATTAAATATATAATTATAATAGATCATCAAAAATGATTTACAAATATTTTTTCTAACAGGTAAAATTATATTTACCTTCATCAGGAGTTGCGCTGTACATTCCTGTTTGACTACTGTAGCCACTAGAAGACTCCAATGAACTTTCACTTGTGCTTTTATTTTTCTCTCCTACATTCTAAAATTAATTTCGTAATGTTTATAATCATATTAAGTATGATATTATTATAAATAAACAACAGTCACAATTTTAATGAGATTTAGATCATAATCATCTTTTTTTTTAAATTTATATATAGTGGTTAATTCAAAGATATAAGTTTTAAAATTTTTTTTTTTTTAAATTAAGGAGGTTAAATATAAAAAAGGATATCATAAACAATATCTAAACATTTAACTTAAATTAATCTAGCAATCATATGAGATATTGCAATAAGAGTAAAAAATTATTAAATTATCAAAATAAATATGATATTAATGCATCTTATTTTATTATCTGTGAAAAAGTAGTTCGCATATCATTTACTTTAACAAAATTTTAGAATAACCACTGTATTTTAGAGGGTAAATAACAAAAAAATTAACTACATAAACTTTTTTTTTGACATAATTTTTGGAACAATGATAAGTAATGAATTATAAAAATAATTAGTAAGGAAGAATATATAAAACACAAATAATAAGTTTACTAACTTATATATTAAGTATTTATTAAAATATTATGAAGATTTTCATGACATATGAATAAATTAATTATGAACATATTTTATATAAATATTTTAATAATATTATTATTATATTTACAGAAGATAAATTAAACATTTTTACAGATAGGTGCTAAAGTTATATAGAACTTATTTTCAGTTATTCATATTTTAATTAACCCTTAATAAAAAAATAATAATAATAAATAAGAAAATACGCACTTTTAGATTTAATGATGAGTCATTTTGATAGGCATTTATCTCTTGAGCTTTATTTGCTGCCATACTGGCTAACTCATGCATATTTACATATGTTGGAGGAATATAATCTAAAATTGGAATCATTGTTTATCTTTTCATACCAATTATATTTACAAACTATTTAATAATGACATCATTTAAAATAAATGAAATCCAACATTTAACTAAACAATTAACTTTATTTTTAAGTTAAGGATATAGCAGCACTAAAATTGTTCTTAAGTGAACCCAAGCTCAACCAAAAATTCATGGGTATGACTTTTCATAAAACGTATATAAAATTTTGTATTCAGCTAGGATCAATTAAACAAATGTTGAATAAACCACTGTTCCTTAAACAATGTGATGTGACTTTTTGATACACCCACAAAATAATTAATTTTATAAGGAATAACTCAAATTGATAATTTGCATACCTGTTGACTTCGGCATTGATGAATTATAACTTTTGTGTAAATCTCTAGAAGGTAAATCAGGAACATGGGCATAATCATTTTGTGGTGAGACTACAGGTGTTTTATCAATAGAAGAATCTGGTAGGAATGTATATTCACTGAGAGCAGGTCTATGATGATGAGCAACACCAGATATTGTATGAGGTCTTGCATCATTCATTATAGCTGATGCAGCGCGTTCAAATTGTAATGTTTCTTGAGCATTAGGCCAAGTCCCACAACCTGCTTCAGAGCTTGCAAAAGGTGTGGATGGTGTACTACTTCCTGCACTACTGCTATTTGAATCTGATGAATGAGGTGCCTAATATTAAAAATAATACATAAATTAACTAAAACTGTATTATGCAAATGATCATTTTTTGGAATATTTTAATATAAAAAAAATAACAAATAACAAAAAACATATATACATATTAATATATTATTGTTGTTTAAATTGAATCTGTATATATCTCAAAATTTAATTAAATAAGAATTAAATCATTATTGATAAGGTAAGTGCTACTGAAAACCTTTAAAAACTAAGTAATACACTATTGCAGTATAAATGATGTCTTTATGCAGTTAATGAGTCTACAGAATTTGCAATACTGATATAAGATTTTTATATTATTATTATTAATATATTATTACTACGTTTGTTTATATTTCTCGTATGGAATTTATAATATAAAGCTTCATAATTTGAGATAATTAAAATTATATTTTAGAGGAAGACTTCATGTAAATTAACATTCAAACATAATTTTATATACACTTAATATTAAAGTACTTTTATGAAAAAAAATATATAAGTATTTATATATATAT